GGTTTATGGCTTGGGGTTTGGGGTTTAGGGGCTTCTGGCTTGGGGTTTGGGGTTTAGGGGTTTCGGGTTTAGTGCAAATGGCACCACAACCCTTGTCACTAATCGGGAAACTCCGACTCTGCGTTCAATCCATCCTCAGAGCCCCTGACTTCAAGCCTCAGCGCTGGTCTCACCAGACTTCCTGTACAAAACATCAACGCTAAACCCAAAACCCCGAATCCTAAACCCCTAAAAGCCCTCAAACCTAAGCCCTAGACCCCAAACATCAACCGAGCTGCTCCGAAGCCACGATGGACTGCACAGCCGGCAAAGACAACCGGGGATGCGCTTCCCGGATCGCCCCTGGCTCTGTAAGAAGACAGGGGATCTGAGCGACCTCGTTTTGTGAAGGTTTTTGGGCTCAACGCTTGAGTTTGGCGTAAAATTAGAAGTTTTCACCAACGGTTCATGTTTTCAGCATTGTGAGTGATGGCCGCTTCAACCCCTAACCCTAAAATCTAGGCCCCGGCCCCTAACCCTACCCGAAACCCCGAACCCTACATCCTAAGCCCTAAACCCCGAACCCGAGCCCTAAATCATGAACCCCCAACCCGGTCCTACGTAGTAGTTGTGGCTTTTGATGCTGTGCAGATTTCCCGGGCGCGGCAAGGCCGACTCTTGGCAAAGCGGCGGCACCTGGCTGGGAGCTCCAGAGTAGCGTGGGAAGTCTCTTTAAGGGCTGTTCAAGGGTTCAAAACACGGGGGTTACTATAATAACAAGGGATCCCTTTAAGGGTTGATATAATAACAAGGGATCGCTGTAAGGGTTGCTATAACAACAAGGGATCCCTTGAAGGGTTACTACAATAACAAGAGATCCCTTTAAGGGTTCGTGTCAGGGGTTGTTGTAGGGCCTGTTGGTGTTTTGCTGTCTCGATTTTTTTTTGGGGGGGGGTTAGGGATGTTTAGGGCTTAGGGGTCTCTAGTAATAGAGTCTAGGGCTGCCCTCGCCACTACAAAACGCTCGGATGCACATCCATGGGGCTCGAGGTGCTTGGCATTGATGACGTACTCCCCATCACCAAGAATCACAAAAAGCATGGCGAAAAGCCCGTGCCTCGTCGGTTGGATCCTCGACGCCATAATGCAGCTTCATCTTCCTCTCCAGCTGCAGCGTTGCCTGAAGCGGCGTGAGCAACCCAAATCCAAGCGTTGCCAGGGCAATCGAGGGCTTCGGGTTCAGGGCCCGCGGCCTTGGGCAAAGAGCAGAGGGCTTAGAGAAACGAGAAGGAGTTCAGTTTTGAGCCTGCGTGTGCTTCAATATCACTATGCGTGGCCGCCTAGATGCTGGGTTGTTTGGGAATCCATCTGACCCTCCCCCGGAACATGGCAACCAGCTTGATAAGAATGGCAGAGCGGGGAATGTCATCAAACCCGGAAGACGCTGGCAAGTGGCTCTGCCACGGTGGCAGGATCGGCAGAGAGAGTGGACCAAACTCCCAAAACCGAAACCTCAGAACCCTAAGCCCTAAACCAAACCCGAAACCCTAACTCCAAAACCGAAATTTGAGGTCTAGGTGATTGTGGACTCCCGCCTGGGAGACCTTGGCGATGTCTCGTAGCACGGCTTTTGAATTCCTGGGAGCAACGCCCCAGCAGCGGCTTCAACAAACTTTCAAGGATTCCTGCTTCACGGCCCTCATGCCAAAAATCTCTACTTGAACCCCAAAATCTGAGGATTCCGGACAAAGCTGTGGCATGTCGAATGCATGATGCACTGCAACCTGCGATGTGACCATGATGAAGGCCGAAAGATCCGAAACTCAAAAGCCGTTTCGGGCTTGAGGTTCAGGGCTTAGGGTTTTCTTTGTTTAAATGTGTAGTGGCCCTTTCTCCCGGGTTTAGGGCTTAGGGGTCTAGAGTTCGGGGTTTAGGGATTAGAACCCGCATGGGCTTTTCAGTTCCACCTTCTGTACGCACTTATAGATCCGGCAAACTCTCGAATGGGAAAAACACCAGTCAACGATAATCGAAAATACAAACACTTTCGGCTTTGGTTTTAGGGTTTGGGCCTTAAGACCCCCGACCCTGAACCCTGAAATACCCGAAATCCGAAAGCCACGGGGACGGTCAGTCCTGTACTTTCTGAGATCCACAAGCTCTTGGAGCGCGGCCGCAGGAGCCAAGCAACTGCCTTCGTCCCTGCCCACGCACTTGTTCCACTAAACCCTAAACTTTCTAAACCCTAAACCCTGGAGAACTAAAACCTAAACTTTGTAAAGAACGAAACCCTAAACCCTAAAGAACTAAACCCTAAACCCTAAAGTTTGGAGGATTGGCGTCGGAGCTTACAGTCTGGGCAGTGACGCCTGCAGCTCTTGGTTGTGGGTCTTAGGTGTGAGAGGCATGTGTGCATGCATGCATGCAAATACATATATATATATATGTGTGTATATATTTGTATCTGCTTTTAATGTATACTTATACTCAGGTGTGTGTATATATATACATATATCTGTATGGGTGTGTGTGTGTGTCTAAGCGTGTGTATATGTCTCTGTGTATTTACATGCTTGTATATACACATATGTATACATACATACATATATACATACATATATATATATATATACATACTTCACTTCACTTCCGCGTTGCAAAGTCTCAGATCTCTGCGAACGAGAATGGGACAAGACGATTTCGTCCCGGCAGCCGCTGTGGACTATTGCCACATCCCAAAAGCCTCACCTGAGCCCTCGGTGCGAACACCCCTTGAGCAGGGCCCGGGCATGTTCACACATCAACTCTAACATAGAAAAACAAATACGAGTTCGAGCAACCTTGTTCAAACTCCTGGTGATCACACGCCCTTGCTGGCACTCCGTCGTCCAGCTTGTAGAAACGATCGTGGCATAGAAGAATCGCCGTGTAATGGCCGCTCTCAGGAGTATCACCGTGGTGGACTGTGAAGGCACACAATCTGTACTCACTCAGTCGGGTTTCCACTCCATGAAGAAAAACAGGCACAAACACTCTCTGGTCAGGCACAACATGGGAATCAAGCTTGATGCTACGCTCATCCCGGCTGCTGTAGCGGAAACGGCCGACTTGTAAGGTCAACCCTTGGGGTGGCGCAAGAAGGGCATGTGATTGAGCTTGCAAATGCCACATGTCAAGCAACTGCTGAATGGTGCAATTACCCCTACCAGGCAGAAGGCACAACGGGCTGGAACAACCCCCATCATACTTCATCAATCGGCCCTCGGCTTCAAGCCTCGCCTCCCAAGCAGCTCCGATCTGTACTTCAAGACCGGTGCTCTTTGCTACCAGGAACTGCAAAAACTCAGCCATGTCGTGCTGGTCATCTGGCGCCTGCCACGCCCCTAGCCAGGTCCGCCAGAAAGGATTTCCCCACACATACGAGGTCCCGGTGGCGGAGAAGAAGCCCCTTAGAAACTTGCTCAGCCTATCAGGAAGTAAAGGCTCCGGCCCGGGGGACCTCGCAGCTAAGACCCACAAACATTTGAGCAACGCATTGCAGTAGCAATGATTGCTACGATTCCCCAGCCGTGCTTTCAGGACCTGTTCCACCATTGGTTCTGCGTCTCCGTGAACAGTGCCAGCCGCTGTGCCAACGGTCCCCTCTGTAGGCGATCGTGACGCATGTAGGCTCCTGCACTGATCCACACTGCTGAGCGGCTGAGCTGGTTGAAGAGGTTCCATGTCCTGTCCGCCGCCTCCACCCGGAAACCGATGTCCAGCATCATCGGGAGTACCGGCGAGTCGTACTCCGCCGCCATGGGTCTGGTGGCATGAAAGCGGTTGACCACCAAAGGGGCCTTGCACAAGACCATGAGCTCCGTCAGGGCCTCCTTGACGGTGGTGATCTCCATCGCCTTGACCATGGGGTCCACCACATGCTGTTTGCGGGTGACGTCCCATTTCATCCCCATGACCTGATTCCCGGTTTCGCTGAGCCACCCGAGTCTTATGGCCTGCATCTTCTTCTCCTCGTCGGCGATCATCTGCTCGAAGCGACTGAGGACGCTGGAAAGCAAGCCCTGCATCAGGATGACCCGCATCGGGCTTTCCAGCTTCTCCGGATGCTTCTCCTTCAGATCCTTCCATGTCAGGCCTGTCTTGTAGAGGGCCGCTGCCATGCTTCCCGGGACGTCGGTTCGAAGGAAGAAGATGTATGCGGTGTCGAGCCTCGCAATGTTGATTTGGTTGTCGTGCCGGAGGATCAAGGCTGTGAGCATGGTGACCTGGGCCTTCAACCGCTGCAGCTCCTTGCGTGTGGACGCCTCGTCCGGCTGCTGGGATTTGTCCTTGGCCTGCTGAGCCGTCCCTGCGAAGGAGTTCCCTGACTGTCGGTCCTGTTGACGTTGATGCTGCTGCCCTTTGCCTCGGCCTGCTTTGTGTCCCTGGCCCTTGCTTCCTGGTCGAGAGAACTTGGAGGGCCTGTCCGGAATCATTTCCTCGTCCCGCTCCTGCTCCAGGTCGGGCTCCATGAGGGTCTGATCTGTCCGCACCCGGTTGGGCGAGGCCACTCCAGCAAGCTGCAAGGCCGACGGAAGTCCGATGGTGCCTGGAGGGGCCAGTGCTTCCATCAGCTGAAGCTCCGTGGTCGCATCTGCCAGGCTCTGGCGCTGCATCTCCAGCGGGTTCTCCGCCTCTGTCGCTCCTGGTGGGGCCATGACGCGGCTCTGAGTCAAGTGGAGGTCCACGTGCAACTCGCGTATACAAGAAGGCACCACTGAACAATGCAACACAAGATCGCAAGTGAGCGTCTCTGCGATTGAAGGTTTCACCACAGAATCTGCACGGACTAGTGAGCCCAAGGTTGCTCTGCTTGACAAAAGAGGCACACTTCTGAATGATGTCAGTGAGCTCCGGGTGTTTGGCCAACATGTGTCTCTTGACATACTGAGGCTTCAGACTCCAGTGGCGACACTCGACACAATGATGCAACTTCTGTTTGACCAAGCTGTGCGATGCAAGGTCGAGCCATGTACACTGCCGAGCCTTCTCTAAGATGTCTGGATTGTGTACGAGGGCTTCTGATAGCAGAGCAAGCGTATGACCCGGCTGAGACTGATCGTATATGGCTCTCAGCATTTCGCAACCCCTAGCATTGATGTGGTAGTAGAAGTTGGGCCAACTATTGAATCTCTTCAAGCAATGCTTGCACCACGGCATTCCTGATTTGGAGTGCTCCATGTTGGCTTGCTGTGCCGATTGTTTCACTTCTTGCTGTCGTGCAAGGCGTTGCTCCTCAGCAAAATGCTGTAGGAATGTATGCCTCTTGAGAGCTGCTGCTGTGCTAAACCGGATGCCGCACTCGCTGCACTCAAAGACTTCATGGATGATCTTGTCCACAGGGATGAGACGAACACTGGGCACTCGGGCTGGGTCGCCTACGGTGGAAGATTGCATGGTCATTGCATGTTCCGGCTTAGCTGTTTGCAGGCAGCCCCTCAGCATTCGCCGCCACTGCAGCTGCGCCTCTCCAGGTCGAATCTGAGAGCCAAGGTGTGCATCCATGGCCTCTCGATTTTTGATGGCCTGCAGAATCCACTCGGTTGGGTGCCTGATGCGACGTCGTTGCAAGAACTGCTTGTTGGACTCGTGCGTGAGCCAGCTATACGATCTTGCAACTGCCCTGGCCTGTGTAATCAACAGGGTCTCGACTTGTTTTGCCTCCGCGGGTGGGAGCCCTGTACAATCTAAGCCATGCGCCAAGCACGGTGGGATGCAGGCCTTCCACAGCTGCATGCGTAGGCTGCACGGTACTGATTGACACCTCAGCACAGGTTTAAGACGCTGGAACTGACTGGTGGCGAGCTGCATCCGATGTTGAGCCGTCTGCTGCTCAAACTTCCGGAAACCAATCTGTGCTCCTAGGTATGTGTGTTGATGCACCACTTTGAGGTCAACATTGCGGTCCTGAATCTTGAAGCGGATGTGCACTCCGTCCTTCAGCGTCACCAGGTACTTGGACAATGCATTGTGCGCCTGTGGGCCCCTGACCTCCAGGATGACCACCGTTTTGCTCGGGCTGATAGTGAGGCCTTTGGAGTCCAGGAATCGCAGGACCATCCTGGCTTGACGATAAGCATTCTCAAGGGCTGAGCCGGAGTCGATGATCCAGCTGAAGATGAAATCATCAGCGTAGGTAGTGTTCGACCTGGACACGAAGTCAGTCAAGTTGTTCTGGGACTCCAGCTGCTTGAGTAGCCACCCTGAGAACACTGCCCAGAGCACCGGCGACAATCCGCAACCTTGCCGCAATCCCTTCAACAAGTGGACCTCGCCTCTATGTCCCCCGTGACCCACCAGTAAGTGAGCCTGCCCGCGGATCGCCAGTATGGCACTGACCAGTCCCTCTGGGACCGCCGCGTCCAACAATGCTGCGCGAAGGTCCTCCCGTGCCACCGCATCGTATGCTTGGGTGATGTCTAACGAAAGCATCATACCCCCCAGAAGGGGCCTGCGAGGGCCAGTTGCTCGTCTTGCAAATAGGGAGTTCGTCTGTGCAGCGAGCAGTGCTCTGACCTGGGAACAATGTCCAACTACTCTCTCGAGAGCCTGTGCAAGACCCCGGGAAGGGATGTATGCGAACACCGGAGTTTGGGCCAAGTAAGTGACCGCGTAGTGTCGAAGTCGGTTTGCCAAGGCTGTGGCCAAAAGTTTTGCCATTGGCGGTAAGAGACAAATTGGCCTCAATTGGCTCACGGCAGTGAGAGACTTGCCAGGCTTCGGTAGCAGAACGAGTTCGCAGGCGCACCACTGTCGGGGTAGAGCTATCGGTCCCGGCTGGAAAATGGCCTCAAACTGTCTGGTGATCACTGGGGCTAGCCGTTCAGCCAGAAGCTTCCAGAGCACCGCGGGTGCAGAGCTTGAGGGCAGGGCCTTGTTCGGGGCGAGGTGATGTAGAGCACCGGTCACCTCAGACTGAGTGAGGTGTAGGGGGTGTGCCAGGATTTCCACAGCCGGAGGAGGCCCCGCGTAGAGCCCCTTGAAGTAGGTCATGATGTCATGAAATTCCTCTTCATGGGTTTGTAGGGCTCCAGCCGAAGTACGAAGCTGAAGTCGGCGGCGTTGCGTCTTGGGTGCCACCCTGCGAGCGGCTTGGTACACATTGCTCTCTTGGACCAGCGATGCCACCATCTCAACCTTCTTTCGCCTGCCTCTGCGCCGCAGTTCCCGAAGAATTGCCTGAAGTCGGCTGGCATGTCGCCAACCCTGCCAGATGGCCAACAAGGGTGTGCATCGAGTGCGAGCCTGAAGCTGACTGGCCTGGTTCCGGAGGTAGGCCCGAAGAAGCCAGAGCTGTCTGACCAGGTTACGGGTGGCTGTGTCCGGGGCTGCACCTGGTCCTTGCCGGTCCTCCCGTTTGGACGTGGCTTTCCCCGCAGATTGGTCCCATGCCTCTCGTAGAACAGTGTCCAGATCTAGCAAACAAGGGGATCCCTCAAGGGCCTCGGTATGTTGCCACAATTGCTGTACAATGCTCTGCTCGTGTAGCATCGCTTGTGCCCTGGCCGGGGCCGTTCGGGAGGGTGGATGCATGTTCCTCCGCGGGGGGCGTGGGGCAGGGATCTGACAATCAAGTGGGAGATGTCGGCCTCCTGAGGTCGCCACGAAGGGGGCCACAAAAGGGCGAGTTTTGCGAGCCTCCTGGTCACAAAGATTCTCCCGCACAATGATGTAGTCTATTTGCGTCCCTTGCGAGGCTGAGCCCGTAGCCGGGGGTATGTAGGTGCGAGCCGCCGCACCACCTCTAGACCACGTGTTGAGGGCTCTCCCATCCATTTGTCTAATCAGATTTTGCAGCTCAGCCTGGTCCTGTTGAGGGATCTCACGACGAGGAACGACTCCTGGCCCACAAAAAGGGTGTTCTGGTAGCAGCGGCGTGTTGAGGTCGCCGAGCAACACACAGCCATGACGCAACGGAATCTGGGCCACCCACTTGGAGGCTGCCTTCCACACTGACCTCCTTTGTTGAAGAAGGTGTGCCACCTTACGATCGGTATCCAACGTCGATTTGGAAGGATTCCATGCCACTTGGTAGAGGCAGAGAAGATCAAGGGGAACCTGCAGCAATAAGCGTAGGTGCAGGGCTCTGCCCTGCACCAGCACCGTGTGCCTGATCCCATCCTCTCCCACGAGTCCCTTCCTTACCATGCAGAGAACTCCAGCCTTTTCACGACAGCCGGTGTGAACCACGAACCAGCGAGCCGCGGACCCACTGCGCTCCTTGGTGAGGAACTCTTGATCAGTCCTCCAGGAGGTCTCCTGGAGGCAGAGCACGTCCACGGGCCGCCCTAGTCTATCCTCCTCCACCATCCACTCCAGAATTTCATCGTACAAAGTCGACGACAAACCCCCACAGTTCCAGCTAACAATTCTAAGTTTGCGTGCTGGCCTCTGGCTGGGATTCAACCTTGTGGTCTGCTTGGAGGAGCGTGGCATCGAGGAAGAGGGGTGTCCTGCTGGGGAACCCAAGGCGTGTAGATGCACCCTGCGACCACGGTAAATGGTGGTATTGTCGGCACTGGCTGAGGCACGAGCGATAGCACGTGCCAACGATCGTTTCTTTGGTGAAGCCTTGGGGCGAAAATTGCCGGGAGGTATGTGATGTCGAACGACACCCTGCTTTGCCTCCACGTGGTTTGGTGCCTCTTGTCGGTAGGCTCCAGGTTCTCCGAGTGGAGGAGAACCAACCCTCGCATCTACCACTGTAGTGTGAGCTAGCTGAAGAAGCGTGAAGCAAAGAAGAACTCGCAGCCAGCTTGAAGCACAAAAATGAGCGCTGTGACAGTGGTTCTGGGACTTGGGACCCAGACTGCTCTTCTTGAAGACGGAGTCAGGAGAGTGTCGGGGGCCTGAGCCGTGGTTGGGATCATCGATGCTCTGATGTTCACGTCCTGTGTCTGTCAAAATACAATGGCACTGTGCAAGGTTGCCCACCTTGAATCTCGCTCGTGGTGCGGCTTGGGTACAGCACCTCAGAATGAACTTGAGCACGTACACCCATCTTCCGAGTATGCACACAATGCACCACATGAACATCTGTAAGGCCACCGACGATGTACACAACCATGATGTGGGGCTGTACCTGGCCGGCCAGGTCAATGGAAGAGAGGAACAAGTACTCAGGCTGGTGCAGGTAGACACGTTTGCGATCGGCCCGGTTTTTAACACGCACTCGCCATAGCTGTGCATCCTGTCTGTGCACTTGCGGAGCGGTCTCCGTGCAGCTCTCGCGATGGCTTCCGGGCATGATAGCCACATGTGTTGGGCATCACGGTCCTGTTGGCCCGAGGTGCCCCCGTGGGTCAAAACTTCAGCTGGCCTTGCCTCACTATTACAGGTGCCGTCTGCGACGCCTGAGCATGTGGACTGGAGGCTGGGCATGCTGCTGTGATATTTCCTAGCAGTCCTGCATAGCTTGTAGAGCAAATGAGGGGCCGACTTGTTGTTGGTCGGGGGGCCAGCCTTGCTGTCATCATCCAGGAGCACTCTGACATACTCCTCTGCATCTTCGGCATCCTCACGGGCTGCCGCCGCCAGCGTAGCAGTAGTCCCGGACCGTTTCGAAGATGACGACGCCGACGGGGTGGCACCGGAACCTGATGCCTTCTGGCTGTCGGCCTCCGCCATGGCATCTTCTACTTTGGTCGCAGTCTCCTCCTGGTCCAGCTCGAGGATCAGCTGGTCCAGTTCAATATCCGCGAGGGCCTCATCCACCTCCGCCGCCGTGAGCTTCGTAGGGCCAGTCTTCGGAGCTGGATCGGCACGAGCTCGAAGTCGAGGGGCCGCAAACGGCTGCTTGGGGACTGGCGGGATGGCCGGGCCCTCAGGCCGGGCCGGTCCCTCGTAGTGTTCCGGCGCCTCTGCTGCACTCACCACATCGTCTTCCACACTGAGCACATGTGGATGGTAAAGATCTCCTGGCATCATCCCGTCTATGGTCACTTTGACCCTTTTCAAGTCTTTCCAGTATGGCGGAATGACTGTCAAGATCCTGCAGCTCGTTAAGCCCATCGCCGTGCTGACCGCCTGTGAGACCTTGGCGGAGATGCTGGCCACATACTGGATGGGCATCGGCGGGGGCGGGCATGGTGGCCCCGCCCTTGGCCTATCGGAACCTGCCGCGGGCTCTGGCTCGTCCTCTGAGGATCCAGAGTCATAGGGAGGTCGGTCCTCGTCTTGCTGATCTGCTCGTGGGGGAGCCTCCGCAGCCATGCCGCCCGGGGCCTCGTAGTAGCAACCACCACCCTGTGGCCTCGTCTCGAACTTATGGTCCTGTTCTTGAGCCCCGGCTCGCAGCAGAGCGGGATGCAGTGGTACAAGTTGCACGAACACAGGCTTCTGGTACATGCATCTGGACTTGCCCTCCCTACAATTCACTGCTGTCTCTGCACTTTGCAAGGACATGATGGGGCACAGGATGAGCGGCAGCAGTCTTCGCCAGAGTCCCGAGGATCGCCATCTTCCAGAGGAGCTCACTACAGGAGCCTCCGGAGAGCCTGTTTTCCTGAAGGGGCTACCTGAGCATGCTACCCACAGGCCTGCAATGGCCACCACACCACCTAGTGCACTGCAGATGCAGACAGCCGGGAGAAACAGGATTCCGACAAACCTGTCCACGAAGTTCGGGCCATTGCTATACTGGTTACGCTGCAGCTTGTAGGCCCCTCGCAAGGAGCGGGAGACTTCCGACCGCCCTTTTCTCAAGCCATGCAGCCCTGCATGCTCAATCCATCGTGTCCAAAGAGGGATCTTGCTGGACACACAGAGAAGTAAACATAGAGCTCCCAAACTCCAAATCGAACCGGCAAATCTCCTGCAGCAGCTCCAGCCTGTCTCTGGCCTTGACCAGGAGATGCCATCCCTCCAGGACAATAACGAAAGAAGAGGCAGCATGCCATCGCCGGTCACAGCGCCTTCTGAAGGCAAATTGTAATCGGTGGGACTGCCGAGCCCACAGGGCAAAGAATACCAAATGCTCCACGACCCCGCGCACAAACTTCTGAAGAGGATCAGGCTCCCAGAAATGCTTAGGGATCTTATTGTCACAGTGGCCCAGGCTGAACGCACGAGGCCCCATGGCATCGTGAGAGGCTACGACCCCGAATCACCAAGTCACACCCTTCTCTCTCTCCTCTCTCACAAAACAACCACACCCCACACTCGCCAAGAGGAAGAACCCCCTAGCCAGCTCGACCCCGACCAGTCCTCCAGACCAGTCAGAAGTCATCAGAGCCGAGATGCTTATATATACATACATACGTACGTGCATACATACATACATACATACATACATACATACATCCGTGAACTCGGAGAGTTGTCCAGACTTACAGCAAACATGCATCCGTTGGTCCATCTATCCATCTACCCATCCATCTATCCATGAGTGCAAGCAAACATACAAAAAACAGAACATGTACCAACATACAATCGTACAGGCACACATACACATACACACACGCACGCACACACACACACACTGTGAAAATAACACGTCTTATCCTGC